CTGCGCACACGAATATCGGACCGAACGGAGTAAAAACTGGTCAGTTTGGATTGTCCGCGTTTTACCATTTTTTGTGATTTTTCCAAATGACTTTTGAGTGTCTGAAACTCCTAAAACTCCAATGGTCGAAACCGAAGTGTAACTCCAAAAACTGCAATGGTTAACACAGAAACTAGTGATCAAATTTAGTCTATATAATTTCACTCAATTTCCAGCAGTTCACACATTGAAATTTTCGTCTGCAATTTCTAGCAGTTTATACTCAGATTTAGTTCTGTTCTCTGTTTTATTCCGTCTCCTCATGTGTCCCTTCCAGTAAGCTGATATTGTTCGAACACTCGCCCAGTTTGTCGGAGTAGAACCGCGATGCTCGAATTCTACTCATTACCGTTGTATTTTTGGTAGACAGACGCTCGAACTAAACCTCTAGCATTATGGTGAGGGGACGAATTTGTTTTAAGGAAACTGTATTTACACAGGCCTCGGAGTTAAAAGTTTATTTCCAACTATATATGCTTTTAGTTTGAGTATCTGCGCTTTAATTATTTGCAGATTTACACGCTTTCAAATTTTATTTAGTTTTCTGAAATTTATACTGCTTTTATATTTCTGCAAATAATATAATTTGTCATTCTTATTCAAGTAGTCATTTAGATAATAGTCTGTATCTATGTAATTTGTGAAAAATAAAATTAAGAAAAAAATTATCTGAATTTTTTTCGAAATTGTGTTTGTGCAAATTATATGAAAAACAAACACCAAATTCTATGTTATCTAAAGTCATTGTATGAAAACAAATAGTTGTGAAAATTCTGTGTTTAATTCTCTACCAAATATGGTCACTGCCGTATACGGTGAGCAGTTGTCAAATACGATAAGCAGCTGCCAAATACGGTAAGCAATTGTCAAATACGATAAGTGTGAATTCGATGTCTAAAACACAAATACGATATATGAGAGTTCGATTCCACTCCATAGACTACCGATTAAATATAACAACATAACCCAAAAAAGTCAAATTATCCACTACTTTCCCTTCTCTACATTACTCCCTTAAATGCAATTTCTCGTAAACCAGCCTCTACCGTACTCTCCTGAAATTGACAAACGTTAATCTTCGTATTAAATAAATTCAAAACTATCAGAGGGTCTGTTTTTTTCAGTTAATGAATTTTTCATTTTGTGTATTACGAGCGCTTCGGAGCTATTTCATAGCCGGCGGTCTCGTTTCAGCCGGAATTCGAGTCCACTGGACCTTGGACTGGGATCTGATTCGTATTCCCATCTTCATCGGAGCAATCGCAAGCATCGGCATTCAGACCACCACCACCACCATAATAATAATTCTGGCACTAGCAATAGTAATCGCCGTGATAGGCTCGAGCTCGAGGGGTGCGATCCGCTGCGTCGCCATCTACATCAGTACTCTAGGCACCATGCACTTTGTCGCTTCTTTTGTCCACCTCAAGTAAGACTGTTCTGATTCTAGGTATAGATGATTGAATGAATTGTGACTGTTACGTGTTTGCGGTATTCCCTATCTGGAAGACTGGAACAGAACCAGTTGCTAAATTATTGAGTTTTGAGGAGTTAGCACATTTATAAATGGAAAATCAATAATTCACTGCCCCTGCTAGACTTTAGGGTTTCATATTTACAAATCACAGTTCCATGATTAGCCTTTGCATGAGAATATGAAGATATAAACTTTATGTCTTCTTCAAATAACAGTTCCATAAAGATTGGCCTTGATCGCTACCCTCAGGTCATTGACACCTTTATCTCAATGCATTCTTAAATGCAAGCACCTCCTTCTTAAAGTGGGATCAACCAAAGCAATTAGCTTTTCTTATGGCAAACTTATCACGCAACAAGGACCTTCGTCTTGATGTTGAAAGAGGCAATTTTGTTTGTTGTGATTTTGCTTCAAGCAACGTTTGGCTTGGCAGTAAGACATAATTTATTAGCTGAGGCAATAGCCGTATACATGGAGCTCTAAGAATTCTAGATTCCACCTCATATACTGTCGATCTTCCAACTTTTGATCAGGACATGAACCTAAGTTAGATTTCTACTATCCAAACTCAAGTTAGTAACCAAGGTACCACCTTGAGATTACTGAAATGGTAGATTTACCATTTATACTAGTCCACTCACCTTTCCTGTCAAGCACATCTAGCTGCATTTGTTGAATGTGCCCAAACCATTTCAATTAATTCTCTGGTAGTATATCTTTAATTGGTCTTTTTTATTTAACTCATTGACAGTCAGGCAACCTTTTAATCTATGCGTCTTTTGACTTGGCAGGGAATATTGAATACGATCTTTTTCTATAAGCAGATTTTCTTCCTTTTTTCAAAAATTTGTTTCCAGTGATGATCTTCTGCTTCAATTTTTTTCTCGTAACAACTAGACTGCATTTTTATTTTTATTTTTAAATGTATGTGCAAATGACATTATTTGCCTTTCTAATCTTTTAAATTGTGCCATCTATTGCCTCTAGCTTAACTGTTCAATTTCTATAGTTCACTAGTTTTTCTACTTATATCGAATTGAAAATTCTATATTGTCTTTACTCACTGTTTTCTGGTCCATCCAATTATACTAATTTTGGGTAAACAAGTGTTTTATCCTCTTTTGCGATTGAAAATTTGACCCCAAGTTTTTTGTTGTTTTATGTTGCTAATAAGATTGAAAGACTCTCCATATTGCTAAACTCTATATGGATATACCCATGCATTTTATAGCCTATTTTTATCTTTTGCTATCATAATTCGCAGTTGAACGAATGCTTTTCTTAGGTGTCATTAAATTTCTGATCCCTGAAAGAATGAAAATTATGTTGAGTGTAGAAGGAAATAGGTAAGATAAATATGAAATTTTTCTTATGAAATTTGAGGAATTACAAAGGAGTTGCTACAATACACTCCTTCTCTATTTATTTATTTATTTTTTTTAGAGATTTTTCTCACTTCTTCTACATACATAACACTAGATAGATACCTCCCTATTTATAGAAAACATTGAGTAAACTAGTCTTACTAATTCTCTGCAATTACAATTAGGTAAAAGCTATTTTTTCTTCATCCTTTACAGCTAGAACATATGTATTTGCAGTTGTGTTTGAACATCATAAGTATCAAATGGCTGCTGCCTGATGTAATTTTTAGATTGCAGAACATAAGAATGTGAGTTGATTGCTGTCTATATTAATTTCTAGCTTGCATAAGTTGAGTATACAACTTGAATTGAAAATCTTATCCTTTAACCATTCAATGAATAAAGTCTTTGTTATTTGAAGTGTTCAATTTGGATTTGAACTCTTTCAATCTTCTTTTGTTGTTGAAGTTTCCAATTTGGATTGGGCTAGATGAAGACTACAAATTACTTTAGAACTTTTAACACTCCATCTTAATTTGTAATCTTCAAATGCTTCTTGAATTTTTTAAACTTATCAATCGTCATTGGCTTCGTTATCATGTCGGCCGGTTGATCATTGGTATTTATAAACTCCATACAAATTTCTTCTTGATTTACCAAATCTCTTATAAAGTGATGTCGAAGTTCAATATGCTTTGACCTAGCATGGAAGACTCGATTTTTTGTCATCGCAATTGTCGACATATTGTCGCAATAAATTGTTGTTGGTCCTTTCTGCTCAAATTTCAAATATTTCAAAATTCTTCTAAGCCAAGTAGCTTTGCAAGCTGAATATGTAGCTACGATGTACTCTGCTTCGGCTGATGATAAAGCAACAAATTTCTGCTTTTTTGAACTCTAGGAAATCACATTTGATCCAAGGTAAAAGATGTATCCAGAAGTGCTCTTCCGATCATCAACTGATCCAGCCCAATCACTATCTGTATAGCCAACAAGTTTGTGATTATTCTCTTTTTTAAACTCTATGCCATGGTTCTTAGTTCTTTTAAGGAATCTCAAAATTCTTTTTGCTGCTGCAAAATGTAGTTTACTTGGTTCATTCATGAATCTGGATAATAAGCTGACTGAATATGTAATATCTGGCCTTGTATTAAGATAAATCAATGAACAAATCAATTTCCTGTAGAGTGTGGCATCAACTTTTTCAACATCATCATAAACTTGCAATTTTTCATTTAAGGCCATCGGAGTAGAGACAGGCTTGCACTCACTCATTTTAAATTTTTTGAAAAGATCATCAATATACTTTTTCCGAGAAAGAAAAATTCTTCCTGGCTTTTGCTTTACTTGAATCCCAAGAAAATATTTCATGAGTCCCAAGTTGTACATTTCAAAATCTTTTATCATTTTCTTTTTGAATTCATCCAGATGCATCCCTTCCAAAAGTCGGGGTTTGTTTAATGTATTTTTCCGCAAGTTTGATATCAAAATTTGTTGGGTGTAAAAAGAAATAGATAAGATAAATATGAAATTTTTCTTATGAAATTTGAGGAATTACAAAAGAGTTGCTGCGGCACGCTCTTTCTCTATTTTTTGAGAGATTTTTCCCACTTCTTCAACATACATAACACTAGATGGATACCTCCTTATTTATAGAAAATATTGAGTAAACTAGTCTTACTAATTCTCTACAATTACAACTAGGTAAAAGCTGTGATTTCTTCATCATTTACAGTTGGAACATTTGTATTTGTAGTTGTGTTTGAACATCACAAGTGTCAAATGGCTGCTGACTGATGTAATTTTCAGATTGCAGAACATCAGAATATGAATTGATTGTTGTCTATGTTAATTCTAGCTTGCATACGTAGAGTATACAATTTGAATTGAAAATCTTATCCTTTGACCATTCAAGGAATAAAACCTTTGTTGGTTGAAGTGTTCAATTTGAATTTGAATTCTTTGAATTTGCTTTTGTTGTTGAAGTTTTCAATTTGGATTTGGGCTAGATGAAGATTACAAATTACTCTAGAACTTTTAACAAATTAAAGTGTCTAGTGAGCCAAACCCTTCTATTCTTGCTTTTCAAATTGTTTTTTCTTGTACTCTTTTTCTGCTGACATGCTCAGGAACGTGATTCTAGCCGGTTTGATCAAGGTAGCCACCAATTTGCTCCGGGAAATGTCAATATATCAGGAAATGAGGGCACCAAACAAGATAGGCTGACGTTCAGTGGAAATGGCAGGCTTCCCGGAGCTGTCTTGCTTGAAAGAGAAAGGCTTCTACAAAGATTGAGAGGTGTCAGTTTGTCTGGAAACAGGTTGGTTTTTTTCCAGATCAATCCATTACCCAACTGAAAAGATAATTTCCGTGTTTTTTATGAGAATCCTTATAAACTCTTTCTATTATAGGAGCAACAAGAGTTCATCTGATGTCCCAATTGGTGATGACTTTAGGCTCGTTGATGCTGGAGATAGGAAAACAGAAGTTTCCAGAGACTGGCTAGCTTCAATTTCCCTTGTATCTGATTCCACTAGGCAACAAAAATGCCAGAGGCCTCCCGGGCTGGGAGGCTGACTGAAGAAGCAGTGGACTGCTTGTGCGTGGAGATATTCAGTGTTCCATACAAAGGTGATGACTGATGAGCCGGCAATGTCAAAGTCATCAATGGAGTGTAGCATATGCCTTGAAAGTTTCTGCGAGGGAGACGAGCTTATATGTCTACCCTGTGGGCATAGGTTTCATCTTTGCTGTTTGGATCCCTGGATCCGCACTTGCGGAGACTGCCCGTGCTGTCGTAGACGTGTAAATGTAACTACAGACAAAGTCAAAGAAAGACGTAATTTTGAGATGTTTTAACTACGTTTGTCATCGATATGTGTTTTTTATCGACTCCAATCTTCTTGTACAAGTGGATGTCGAGAAATCTATATATTTTGTGGTACTTTCCAAAGCACTTAGTCGACTTTGGTTTGCGCGATCTCTGCCCAGTGCATTCTTGATTGTCTGTCCTGATCTAAAAGTCATAAGATGTAAAAGAATATCTTGAATTAGAACTATTTATGTGGCGATCAATGAATCGAACTCACTGTCATCTAAACTGCTATTGAACACTATTAATGATGCGTATCATTGATGCTTGGTAAAAGAAAGTCAAAATTTCCTTGAAAATGAAGGAGAGGTGAAATTAATGAAGTCACTAGAATCGTCATGTTATAGCATTCCCGAATTGTATCACAACCATATCAAGTGCCCTTCTCAAGAGAAAAGGGGAAATTCTCACCCACAGTTCCGAAACATTACCAATTGTCTCAATTGGGTCCCCATCCTTTTCTTTTCTTTCCTTTTTATTATTATTGTTATTATTTTTTTGTTGCACATAAAAACATGTAATGTAAATAGAAATCATTCAACTTTCCATCAAATAGTTACTTGAAAAGCACGTGAGTCGTTCCTCAGTTCACGGGTTCCATTCTTTCAAGTGATTATTTCATGAAAAGAGGAATAATTTCCATCTATATGTCCTTACATGCACCAAGAAAAAGATAATTATAGTTTGGCGACCCAATGCGACAAAAAATTGAACGGGATCTATTTGTAATATTTGGAAACTGAGAGTGCAAATTTCCCATAGAAAAATGATATTAATTTTCAGTTACCTTTTTTTTTCTTTTTTTTTAACGAGGTGTCCCAACTTGTGCCAGACTATATCCTCGTCCCTGAACCTCCGGCCCCTCAGCAGCTCAGGGAGGTAAATCGCGGGATGTGCCCTTGTTGGTTCCCAGGTTCCCACATGGCTTTTACTCCTTCCCCAAAGGAAGTCTCTTCATTGCCTTACAGCAACTTGCCTTCCAAGTTGTGCCTTCCAAAAATCGAACTCCCCACGCTTGGTTCCAGAGCCCCCCAATGTGATTGTTCCGCCAACTTGGATGTGCCCCGGAGGGCAAAGAAAATAAGAGGATTCAGTTACCTTTTTTTTTTTTTTGATCGGTAGAGGATTCAGTTACCTTACTTTTATGGAGAGGTAATCAAGGCATAATTTGCTGGTAATTGGATGACAGTTTTGCTACCTTTACATCATTTGTGATAGCTTTGTTTAAACTCCGTGATGTGGCATACAGTTTTGCCATTGATTTTAACAATATTTAAAACAATCAATGACCTCGATTTTTACACATTATAGAATATCATACGTGATGTACAAGTAGTTTAATTCATTGGATTGTTGAATGTGCTGTCTTTAGACACTGTTATCTTCATTGTTAGATTAATGACCGCATTTATGCCATACTCGACATAACATGACAAATAATAAAATTCATGGCAACATCAAGTTGTTAAATCTCAACCAACTAATTTTATTCATTGTACCAAGACTACCATAGATTATTGAGGTGGAACTCAGTATAAGAACTTAGTATTCTGTCACAAGCAAGAAAAAAAAATTAAAAAAAAATCTTACACTCAAATTTTACGTAGGTTCGTTTTCTTTGATTGGAAAAGAAAATAAAGGAGTTCGAATATGCTTGTAACATAATAATCAAATAATAATAAATAGAAAATAAGAAGAAAAGAAGATTCGATGACATGTAATATAAGAAGAATCGAAGGCAGGTGGAGACGAGAAAATGAAGTCTAACGGTAGGAGGTTAGAGGGTAATATCAGTGTGCAGAAATGCTTGTTGGCCCAAATGTCTTCATCGCTTTCAATCCACGCCAATTGGGACACCTTATTCGTATAATGCTAGTTGAGTGAGGTGGTTTACATTTAATTGGGAAAATATGAACAAGGAAGAACATTTAATTGGGACATTTTTGTTTACCTCAAAAAATGCGCAAACAGAAATCTAACCTCATCTCATCTATGTAGACATCACCTACACACTGAACACTTCGTTAGAAGGCAATGTCATCAGTAGAGAAAAAATGTCCGACAACCATTTACACTCTAACGGTCAAATCAACGATCGAACGAGAAAAATATTAGTAAAAGAGAGGAGAAGGGATTTTGGCTAGAGTAAAAGAACGTACTTTAAAATGAAATAGATTCACATATATATAAAAAAAAATGAATGGGTCTAGTACGCTAATGGGCCGAGTACAATCCCAATGTTAATTTTGATGTTTACGAGTAGCAATGGAGTCAAGATTATTGTTTATGGTGAAAAAATATCGAAGAAACGAAATTTACACATTACTTATATATTAAAAAATAAAACTTTCTACATAAATTTCTATAATATCAAAAAATTGTGAGGTGGTCGCCGCATCCCATCTACGGACGAAGGGAGGGGCGTGCCTGAGCTTCAAGCCCATATATATATATATATATATATATATATATATATATATATATATATATATATATATATATATATATATATATATATATATATATATATATATATATATATATATATATATATATATATATATATATATATATATATATATATATATATATATATATATACATATATACACATCTGAGGCTAATTATGAGATGATTTTCCTTAAGAGCATACGTGATAGTTAAGTGTGAACAAGAAATAATTTAATTGGGACATTCTGATTTATTTACTGCTAATCATGAGGTGATTTTTCACTAAGAACATATGTGATGGTAAAAAATAACAAGAAAGAACATTTGGTAAGATTAGTTTAATATTTTATACAAAAACTCGGAAGTATTTTTTTGGAATAGAAACATTACAATTTTGTAAACTGTGTGAATATACCAAGTATGGTCTTGTATCAATCATATTCGGTAAGTAAATTAGAAAGTCTTAAGCCTCTCTTTGGTATACAACTTTTAAAAATCAATTTTTTCTTAAACTCATTTTCAACCGCATATTCTTCTTCTAAAATAATATTACATGTCAATCCATAACTTTTTCAACCATACATTCTTAAATTATCAATGGTCTATATAACAATACATTTCACTTTAAATTTTTAAATAGGGGGACAAAACCTAACTTCAAAATGTAGAATATGTGAGGACAACGTGACAATTTAATAGAAATTTTGACAATTTTTTTATTGTTAAGAATCAGTTAATCGAACTATAAAAAAATGTAGCCCTAGTTTGTTTCCAATTATTCGAAGACAATAATGAATTTTTTGACCCCTTTTTTGCCGGCACATGGACCCAATATGAGATAAAAAGTAAAAAATCACGATTGATAATTTTGCAA